TCTGCTCATCATTTTGTGTTTGGTGTTACCAATTCTTGGCATTTTTTCACTTTTTTTACTTTTAGTTAATATGATTTGTTCTACCACAACGAGAACCCCCAATTCGTGTGCGTACATGATGCAATCGATTCTGATGACGAAGAGGGCAAAAACTGCAGTGATAACGATGACAACTTAGACCAAAGCTTCACCAGAAACGGAAATTTCCATCCATTACTAAGAGTCCAGGATTAGAGTTTTTCGTCTCCAACTACCAAATTGGACATTGAAAGAAAACCTGAAGCGAGGTATGATTCATTTGTTTTGGTCAGTACCATGAATCTGCTGATAAAAAATGCAGGAGTTTGTTTGATCCTGGTCTTGCACTTATGGCTCATGTATTTCTTTTATTTGCTCTTTCCAACTACAGTACGGTTTAGGTTTTTATGAGGCAAAGGCCCTACTATTGTTGGTTACTTTTATTTATTCTGTTTTGCGACTGTAAAATGCTATAGCTTTGTGAGTTTGTGGTTTGGCATTGCATAATTAACTGTAACAAAATATTATTCCACAAAATACAATTAGTTATGTATTTTTTTTTTTCTTTTATGTTTGATATTTAGCTTATGTACTTGTGAATAGTTCATAAACATGAATAATAATTTGATCGCTGGAGACATATTTTGGGGATGACTCTTTTTCTTTGGGTAAATTTACAACTCTTATTTTAAAAGAACTATGTAATTTACGTGTGTTCCATCTATATATATATTTTTTTTAATATTATTATTCTGGTACAGTTTTATATTGCTTTATGCTACAATTTCAGTATGTAGAATAATTTTGCAGTGCTCAAATATGAACTGATATATAAACTTTTTTTGGTACTATTATTAGATCTTTGTTATGACAAACACTATATGTTTTGATTCCTGATGAATATGAATATGTTATTAGTGTAGATCTTAAGTCTAGCACAAACTCGATATTTCGAGCAGGCTAATTATCCTTGACCGGTGTAATCCTTCTTTGCAGTGTCCTGCTCTATAAGAGATGCATTATAAATATAATTGGTATTTTGATAGTATTTTTATAGTTCATTTCTACAAAAAGACTATCAAAATATAAAGACTGGTTCACAACCTTGGCTGGTGTAATCCTATCTCTCTAATTCACAATCCCCAATTCAGCAAACCCTCGGTCGAAACCTTTGCCTGACCTCCTTTTAAGTTGAGAGCTCCAACCAAACAAGGGGCTTACAGGTACTAGGTGCCCTCCTCCTCTCTGTCTCATCTTAGTTCCTTCTCGAAGCAGAGTTTCTTTCGAAGGCGGATGTCTGCAGCGGGATTATCCGCAACGCGACGGATCCCCTTCCCTTGTTTCTTGTTCAATTTTCTTGGGGTTGGGATCTGGCGGGGGATCGACTATTTTGGGCTTTTGAACCGAGGTAGCCGTGGGTGCGTTGGGGGAAGGTGAAGGGCGGGCCTCCGAGTGCTTTTCTGGTGGGGATCCATAGGGGAGTGGGACTGGGATTGGGTGTCGGAGTAGCGAGCTCCTTCTTAGAGAAGGGAATTTAGCCATGGCAGACGGACGACCGGAACCAACTGGGCGAGCCGCACCACTGTGCGATTTGGTCGCAGACAACTAGATGCACTTGCAGATGCTGGCCTGGTGCAACACGGCGAGGGCTAGTCATAGATGGGCAGTGTTTAGTAGAAAATTGTGGGTATGTGGTAACCGAGTTACTCGACTCGGGTCGTGATCTAAGGAAGGCTATTCGGAGCTTTGGTTGCTATTCAATTGTCCAACAACACAAAACGAGAAAAATAAATTCTAAACATCCTATTCAATAATTGGAGATTGATTTTAAACTAGATTAACTAAGGAAATAAGCAAACGAGCAATTATACTAAAAACCCGAGCTTACTAAACCGGAGAACTAAAAGATCAAGTAAAAAGAGCTAAAGCAAGAGAAACGAACTCCATCTACTACACTTAATAGCTAAAGCCGAAAATTCTACGCCGAAATAATCGAGCTCAATAGCAAAGTCACGATGTTTCAAGTAGAAATTTACACTTCAACCAACTCAAGCACAATAGACAAGCTCAAAAACAACGAGAACACGGAAAATAACTAACTGAGCAAACATAATTCAATAAACAAGCAAGCCCTAATCACTTCTACAAACTAAATAGCAATATAGGTGCACAAATCGAAATCATAAGCCTTAAAATTAAGTACTCACATTCCTAATGCATCCTTGGTCGAGATCGGAATAAAAAGATACGAAATTGCATAAAAACGAAAGTTGCCGGAAAATGTCGCCGAAAAATCCTAAGCTAGGAAGAATCTAGAGAGAAATCAAAAAACAAAAACATTTCCAAAAAGAGTAAAGTAGTAAATGTAATCTAGTAGTCCAAATACAAAGGGCCAAAATGTATTTATAGTCCAGCTCAAAACACACACATCAAAAACATGCAGATTAAATGAGTACTCTCGATCTCGTCAGGAATTTCGCGGGTCGCGGACGGCAGATGGCGCGGACTCGGCACGAGGTGGCGCGGCGGATAGGCAGCACTCTCAACCTCGTGGGTGTATTCGCGCACGCGGATGGGCAACGGAGCTATACTCTCGATCTCGCGAGCTGGTCCGAGAGGCGCGGGCTGCGGCTGGCGGCACTCTCGAGCTCGCGGATCATGGAATGACGTCGCGAGTGGTGCGAGGCAAGGGCTCTCCGCAAGGTCACGGGTCATGGTGCGAACTTGCGAGTGTGGGCAACTTCGGGGCTTTTGATCGACACGGCTCAAAATACTCGGAATGGACTAGCTCAGTGGTTCGAAACTTGTCGAAATTGACTCGAAATACTTGGGAAATCTCGTCTCTCGTGACTCGGTTCGATCTTCTCGTCCTCTTCGAAAATAAACCTGAAAATACACCAAAAGGCACGGAAAAGTACTCCAAAAATATAAAATAAAAGAAAGACATATAAACACACGAAAAACAATAAAATTGACCGGTCAACACTAAAACAATCCTAAAAACCGACTCAACTATGCACATAAAACACATAAAAAGAAACACAAAAACACAATAAACAGGCAGAGACCCAGGGCCAGGGCGCGCGGGGTGACATGCAAGATTCCCGCAGGCGTCGCGTCATGCGAGCGTCCTGCACGCCCAATGCTCGACAAGCCCGACGACATGCCCGCAGACAGGCAACGCGCGCAGCGCCTCTGCAACCTTATCAAGCGACAGGCCGGCAACGTGCGACCTGCCAACGCGCTTGCCGACCTCCCCAATGACAAAGTCACATGGCGCAGCAGATGCACAAGCCCAGACGATGCCCATGCGAGCACCAGCGATCTCCCGGCCCGTCTGTGCCCAAGGCGACCCAACCACGCCCAAGCGACCACAAGCAGCTCGATCACAGTCTGACAACACCGCAAGCAACGTGGAGCGACCAGCAGCAGTCCGACGACGTTCCAGGCGATGCACGACGCAACTACTACAAAAGCGAGGCGTGATGTTGTGATCATGAACGACGAACATCCACGAGATGTGATTGGCATAAAGGGAGATGCGCGAACGAGGACGATTAGACGAGAAGTCGGAATCATTCGTCCGGCCCCATAGGTCGTGTAAGTCTGTAAAGAGTCTGTGAATTATGAAACCGGCAAGTGTTCGATCCCAATCTATAGGTTCGTTGAGTTTAGGATTATTTCGTAGATAATCCGTGACTTGCACAATCTTGACGTTCTTAACCGAACCCCAACAAATAGGTGTCCAGTGTGAATTAGCTATGTAGCTGGTTTATTCGGTTAGATAGCTGCTTGTAATTATGTGTTTTTATTAATACATTATGCCATTTAAAAAAAAAGGTTTTTATGACCTTGGGGTTTATTTTATTTAATTTCATTCTTTCGTACTTTAGTGGCTAATAAAATTTAAATATTTTTTTATTTAAGTTCTGTTTTTGTAAGGTTTATCTTGACGAATTTGTTTAGGTTACGTTTATGTATATGAATGTTGTTATGTTTATTTCTAACAGTAATTCATCAATAAAAAATTAGTTCTAGTTATTAAAATAGTAATTCAACCAATCATTTGATTATTTTTTTTAGCAAGTAGATGGATGAATCTTTATTAATTATATTCCACATTTTCATTTTGTAAAATTATTGAGGATGTGAACATTACAAAATTGGTTGTTTTGAGTTATTATTTAGGAGGCCTTCCACAATTTCAAAAACTTAAAATCTCCTCATATTAGTACGAGTAAAAATATATTTAAAACCCCATATTTTATCAATTTCAACAAAAAAATCTTGTAGGTGCATCCTTCGGCCAATAATTTACAAAAGAGATCTTGACATCTGCCTTCAAGCCCAAAGTTAAAACTTTTCTCTGGAGAAGTTGGCTTGAACATCTTAGTGTTAAGTCACAGTTGCTGAATAAGGGGATGAACATAGACTCTACTTGTCAAATATGTGGGGAAGTTGAAGAATATATCAACCATGTTCTATTTCATTGTGAAAAAGCTAAATTGTGTTGGCAAATCAGTGGGATTTACTGGAATATGCTTGATGAAGATAACATTTGGTTTCAAAAATGGTGGTTGGAGGTGTGTTCCGCTAGCAAAGCTAAACGAATGACAAACTAAGATTCTTAGCAATTCTGATGTGGGGTCTTTGGAGGCTAGAAACAAATAGTTGTTCAAAGTGGATTGCATACATGAAAGAGTGGTGGTGAAAGAGGTTAGAGTAGAATGGTTGGAGTGGCAGGTCGGGAAGGAGAATACTCTGTATCAAGATTCCAAGAAAGGCAGTTCTATCAAATCTCCTTCAGATAAGTTTTTTCAGGAAGTAGGTAAGCCTTTGATGGCGGTCAGTGCTTCACTATCTAGTGAGGGTAATTGGCTTCAAAATTGTTAGGTGAAAGTTGAAGAAAGGAATTTTGAAAATTGGAGGAAGCCTTCTCAAGGGGCTGCAATCCAGAAGGAAGCATTGCTACTGGCAATGAGATGGAGTTTGAGGAGAGACTGAATTGCTATTCACCACACTCTAAGAAAAAAGAAACTGAATTGCTATTCATAGTCGCGTCCGGCCTTGTCGGTAGGACGCCACCGTGCGCGTCCGGCCTCGCAGGTAGGACGCGCCAAATAAATAATTAAAAACAATTTAAAAAATTATTTACAAAAAAAAAATAAAAAATACATGGTTAATCTTCAATGTCTTGCCGATGTTATGGTATTTTTTTGGTATTATTTCGAACTTTTTTAACGGTCAAAAGAACCGTAGAAAATCGAGAGGGAAAGGGTAGAGAGAGAGAATTGTGAAGGGCAAAAACATCCAAATGAAGCGGTGACTGCTAATAAGGGGGGCGGTAAATAGTAATGCCAAAAAAATAAAATCAACTTAAATCATTAAATCTAAACGTGAGTAAATACTTTAAGTACAAACTATCAAGTGGCACACTTATTAATTTAAAACCATCAAATAATTTTAATAATAATAACAATGGAAACGGCAACAATTGTATATAATAATTTTAATCATGGATTAACTACAACAGTTTTGCTATGAAGTCAACAATTAGTGGAGTCAACCTTGTATATACAACAAGTAAACTATGGTATAATTTACTTATTGTAAATAGAAGGTTGACTCCACTATAGAGCCAGTTGTTGATTCATAGCAAAACTATCAACTACAATAACTACTTTACATGTATATTTAAAGGCTAATAACGTTCACAGAATCATTCCGTGACGAAACAGTAGCATTTCCAATAATTAATATGTAATAATGGGTTTGCAACAACATTCAAAACCCGCCACTTAATAAAGAGGAGTTCAAGGTGAAGCGTGATTAGCGTGGCAGAATTTTGAAGCACCTTTTGATTTGACTGTGGACCAGATTCAGAAATGAAAACGTAGGACGCAGTCCAATTAATAAGGCGGGTTTATAATAGTAATAGTAAGAAAAAATTTCAAACGTGGACAAAAAATAATTTAATTAAAGTTTCATTAACTTAACATTAATTCCGTATTTTTTAATAGAATGATCGAATTGAGAATAAATTTGATCGAAAATCTTGATTTTGCTGGGAAATTGACATGTTATGTACTTGTGTTCATATGAAAAAACTGAATTTTAAGCCAAAACTATCATCTTAACTGTCATTTTCTCAAATGACGAGATTACTATCAATAAATTAAATTCAATAGGACTCATTTTTCTTCCGATATTCACATTCCCAACTAAAATTATCATCAAATTCATTATTTTCAAAAATTCTATAGAGTCGTCACTCCCTTATTAAGTCATCTATAACTTTATGTACTGACACATGTTCAATATGTATTTATTGCAGAACATGTGTCAATATATTATTTGTGATTACTTTCACACACTGGAACTTTTGAACTTATCTAAGTAGTATATATTCACGCATCAACTGCAGAGTTATTTCGGGTTTATTGCACGAAATCCCCCTGTATTATATGAAATCTGCGCGTTTTCCCCCGGTATTTTAAAAATTGCGTCAAACCCCCTTCTATTTCATGTTTGCATGCATACTCGCCATTTCCAGTTAACGCCGTTACTTTAATGCTGACGGCGTTTCTCTTTCATTGAATTTACCTTTTATACCCTTACTTTAACATTGAATTTACCATTTTACCCTTAATGTTAATATATTGACTTAAAAGTAAAATTCCAATGGTAGGGATTGAACCCACCACCTTTGTGATGTAAAAGACAACTCTTACCAACTGGGCTACTACTCATTTAGTTATAAATGTGATTTTATCTATATATATCACACTGTATAGCGGAATATCATATAATTAAGTATATAGATTCTGAATTATAAATATCATAATAATTAATTATATAGATCTAAATTATGAATAATATAATAATGAATTATACAGATTCTATTTAATGTAATAGTTAAGTATATAGACTCTAAGTTATAAATAATATAATGATTAAGTATATAGTTTATAAATTATAAATATGTAATAATTAAGTAAATATTTTTTAAGTTATATATAATATAATAATTAAATAAATATATTATAAATTAAAACTAATACAATAATTAAATAAATATATTATAAATTAAAAATAATATAATAATTCGTTATATAGATATAAATAATA